ATCCAGTCACATTACGACCTTACGAAAAGATGGTCTGATCGAGCTCAAATTTTTACCAGATACTTTACACCCTATCTCAGGTTCTAAATTTTTTTTCCGAAAAATATGCTTTCCTTCTCAAAATATACGAAAAATGCTGAAAATCACGCAAAAAAGGTCAAATGTTTTCAGGTTTTTTCACTAATTTTCATTATTTTTTGTATATCTCGAGAAGGAAAGCATATTTTTCGGAAAAAAAATTTAGAACCTGAGATAGGGTGTAAAGTATCTGGTAAAAATTTGAGCTCGATCAGACCATCTTTTCGTAAGGTCGTAATGTGACTGGATGGAAAGTGAAGTTTTCCAGAAAATCCATATAAGAACATCTCAGAAAATTTTGGACAAAAATACCTCGATTTTCTCTTTCGATGTTCTATCTCTGCTATAAATTTGAGCTCAATTGGACGTGTGTTTCCCATTTGGCAACAAGATGAAAAAATAGGGGGATACCCTTAATTAATTTGGTGATCAAAAATATTGATAAACTTTATTTTTAACTTGAATTTTTCATGGATTCACTTCGTCAGTACATAATAATGATGATTGTCAGTTTTATGTGTTATACCGAAAAATAAACTTTATGTCAAATAAAACTTGATCTTTAATGTACTTTATTTCATATTAAAGTCGATGAGAGGAGAAAAGTCCATTCTAAACTATATACAATGTATTGTAACCCTTGAGGATTTTTAAACCGAGCAATCGCCGATATATCGCCATAAAGGCGTTCATAATGGTACATATCACGATAGCTTGATTATTTATCGTGGTAAATTCTACGTTGCGATCTATCAGATGGTTCTTATAGATCGAGATGTAAGTTATTACCGCGTTATTTCTATGATTTATCACAACGCAAAACAATGTTTCATTCGGCGGCGATAAATATTTATCGATCAACATCGCGATATTGTTTCTTATTGCGTTGAATTGTAGAAATATCCGACTAGAAGAAGTAGTCTAGATAAATCGTAATGTCTGTTTATCGGGATGTATCGCGATATGTGTCAATTTCACGATATCCTACTGTTGTTTTAACCATTTTTATTTAAATAGAAGCATCCTACTGTTTATCACGATACAGATGAATACGGCGATAAGGCACACTGATGTTTTTACAGTATTTTTTAAATTTAAGTGGCTTTTCGTCCACTTACGACGGTTTATGTTTGTTTTCTATTTCGAAAGAAGAATGATAAATCATAGTCAAAAAATGTTTAACTGAAAGCTTTTTTGAGAGTATACGTCTTTTCCTTTTTTAACACGAAACAACAAGTCCATTAATAAACTCTTTTTATTACTCGTTTTGTTACATTAGATTCAATCACCAACACTTTTAAGTTACAATTGTTAGTATGTCCCTTTTTGGAACTAATGTTGAGCAATTCTCGAAAAGTCTTGTCCAACAAAGGCTTTCTTATGTTACCCTCTCGTTTACAGATTCCTCGACTAGTTTGACCAATATACATTCCATTACAATCATAGCAGTCATATCCATAGATTACTCTTTTTGAATCTTTATTTTTCTACCTAAATGTTGAGCTGAATATATGTAACAAACAGTTACTCGGCAAAAATCGCCTGCTTCAACGGGTGTGTTTGAAAATAGTATAATAAATACTATAATTTGTTAGTTAGAGTCAATGTGCATATTCCGTGATAAGAAGCAGGATTTAAGCCTGCTCATTAAAGGCCATGATAGCAGGAATTTTATCTATTTGTTGAATATATAAAAGATAAATATTTGATGAAAATATAAAATTTATTTTCTCTTATTTTATTTCTTAAATATTTTATTTTTAAAACATTAAAATGTTTTTCTTTTATATATTCAAGGAAGAGAGTACACACGCACATTTTCGATACATTTATCTCGATAGGTGCTTGTTTTATCGAGGCTGTCACGGAGTTTTTGTAGTTACGACGATAAATAATTTATCGATAAAGTAACCCTTTTTATTGCCATAATGTTATTATTGCGATTTATCGGTAAACAATCTTTATCGTGGTGATGTAATGAACCTACTTTATCGAAATAAAGCAATTTTTGCCAAAACTCCGTGACAGTCTCGATAAAACAAGCACTTATCGCAATAAATGTATTGAAAATATCCTCAGGGGTCATTTTACTGATGGTGAAATGATTTCACCATCAATAATTGATCCATGAGGATATTTTTAGATTTTACTGAAATCTAAGTGCAGCATAATTGCAGTGAGTCAACATTAAACTAAATTTTCTTATACCCATAAGCAAATATTCTTTACGATTTATGTCATTCAATATTAGTCATAATTATCGTATGTATATAATGGGCTTAGCATGGTAGAAAGTGATTGAAATATGTGATAATAAAAACAAACAATGCTGTTCTGTTGTTTTCGTGACTTCAAAACGACCTTAAGTGAGTGAGCGTCATGTTTCTTTTTTACCACTTTCAATTTTGTGTACAATCCCCATAGAATTTTTTCATAATACATTTTATTGCTTGAGAATAAGCATGACTGTTTTTGACTTGTTGGAAAAATACATATAAAACAAATACTTAATTTAAGTTTCGATTTTCTTCAGTGTAGATAAATTCAAAGTATGAGTAAAGTTTTTTTTCCTCATTTACTTATAAATGATTGGATAGAGCGCATCGAGTTGAGTAAGAAAAGGACTTTTTAATTATTAAAATATTTTTTAAAAAAGAAGCATTGAAAAAATTTGAAGAGTCTAAAATTTTGAAGAATCCTTCACTTTCAAAAAAAATTTGATGTTTTTTCGTTTTTATTCTTCTAACTTTTCAAAAGTATATTTTTCAGATTCAGCATTAAAAATAGAGTATGAGAGTGATACTTGTTCGAGGTCGAAATCAATGGCTTACTCAATATGGACATATTGGACTCCTCGTGTAAAAAGTTCAGAAACAATTTTGAAAATCTATTTCGTTCTTTTTGTGATGAGGTGAAGCCAATCTTTTTGCTTCATTTGAACTGCCATTGAACGAGTTTTATAAGTATCGATGATTGGAAACGAGAAAAAGAGTACATCATTCGAGTTAGTTTATGTATAAATAAATGGGAAATAAAATTTTACCCTAACTTTGAATTTTCAATACCTTACTATAAATCATTTCGTATCATAATTATAAAAAGAATTTATATAAATTTTGTGTAATTTTAGACCATTAAGTCACTTTTGAAAATGGGTCAAACTCAAGAGCCACTCACTGTTACATTTCCTATTGATCAATCACCAGTAATTTGTGAAATAAGTTCATGTCCAGATGGTACATTCGGTTACTGTTTACATTGTAAACGGTATTTATGTATAAATCACTTAAAAGATCATGAACAAGAATTAGTTGAATATTCAAATACAGTTGGAGATAATATAAATCTAATGCGTGATAATGTAGAACATCTAAATACCGAGATTCCACTTCAAAATTCAATTAAAACATTAAATGATTGGTATGAGAAATCGACAGTGACATTGGATACTATTTACAATAAAAATCTTGCTCGTATATTCCAATATAACGATGAATTAAACAATAATTTGAGAGCATTTCAGAATGTTCAAACACCAAAGTTTGACCAGATACATAATGGTATTAAAGACATACAAAAACATCGAACAACAAATATAAATGAAATAAATCGTTTACAGAAGAATTTAGATGAGACTAAAAAAGAATTAGACACTTTATTTTATGATATTAAAACAGAATGTACAGCAATCGATTCAATTAAATTAGTACAAGTGAAAAAAGTATTTGAAACTCAAGTAAAACTGCCACAGACCATCAATACAAGTCTACATTCAAATGATAAATCTCAAGTCCAAGATCAATCCAGTGGATTTCGAAAGTTTTTTAGCAATCTTCGTAAATGATAGTACAACTTTAATCATTATTTATTTATAAAAATATTGATATTTCGACAAGATAACGGATGAACTCTTTATATTGAGATTGTCTTCCTTATATTTAAAAAAGATGATGCACTAAAATGACACTCAAATTTACTTACAATTGTTTTAGTCAGCATTTTTTAGGTAACGTTTGGGTCGAAAGTTATGAGCAGTTTAAATGAGATCTCTTGTAAAACTTTAGATACAGAGTTTAGATAATCTGATAACAATAAAAAAGCGTAATAAACAACTGAAAAGATAGAAAAAAAGTTTGTTTAGATAATGTGAATATAAAATCCTGGCATTTTTTTGATAAATAATCAGAGCTGCAGAATCTGCCTGTTTGCTTCGACGATCGTCGAGCGGAAAACTTATTGATTTGGGGAATCTTTTTGAAAAATTGAAATTTCTTTTTGCAAATATTTTACAAGACGGAATTCTGTTCTCGTGGATTATGTCGGGGAATTTTTTGACAAACTTTTTCTGTCGAGAAAAATTTTTCAATCTCACGGGTAGATTCTACACCTCTGCAAGTAATACTGGCAACTAAAAAAGTTGACTGATCTGCACTAAAAGAAAAGGAGAGCAATTCATAATGTTTGAGGTAAGCAGAAAATTCTTCACAAAAATGCGATAGCTCAAGTTACATTTTGGTATACTACTTTACATCATTTATGTCTTCTCTAATTGTCTAGAATATCTTTTGGATTAGATAACTAATGACACTGATCTTACTTCCATATTTAGATCGGATATCTGTAATTCAAAAATCGAGTAGAATTTCTTTTTTTTGTTTTGTTTGTTATGGCTGGATAAAGCTCGTCAAATAATCTAAAAAAATAAAACTATTTTAAAATTTTAAAAGTCAGTTTTAGGCAAAAAAAATTTGGAAATTCTAAAATTCTGCAAATAGGCAAAAACGAAGGAAATTTTTCTACTTTATTTTCAAACTATTTTGTCTGATTCTTCATGAGAACCTGAATATAAAATATTCAACTTTGGTCGAATCTAAACTTTAAATGACAAAGACATTCTTGACATATGACTGAAACTTCTTGACGTAGTTACTGCCCATCTTTTAAACCTTTCTAGCTTTTTTAGTTGAAAGGCTAAGCGAGTTCTTTCCTATTTCATTTTAAACACTACGTATGTGAGAAAAACAACTAAGTATCGGAAAATATAATACGAAAAGACTGTCTAAATGTTCTATAAGAATGATGTCTTCAAATTCATTTTGCTTTACTTTTCATTGCTCGCCTATTATCCTTTGTTCAAAGTCAGATTTCTGTTAATAAAATCAATTGAGACTTTGCTCAACGAATTTTGAATCGGTGAGGGTGAACAAAAATTCCATCGAAATTAATGAAAACCAAAAGCGTTCAAAATCACCTCGCTGTAGTCGATCTCAAAACTTCTTCGTGCAGACCAAACATGTCTTGCTATAATAAAACATCTGCGAGTTCTCTACGGACTTTTTGCATCAAATTGCTTACGACTGCCATGAGTAGTAAGATAAACCGAAAAGAACAGACTTTGAGCTAAACCCTGAGTTTGTAGCAATTTCGGATGAAAAATACGATGTGACATACACGTTTGACTCCTATTTCTGATGTTTTATACAGCAGTATTGTGAAATTTTTGCTCAGAATCTATGAGAATAATTGTTTGAATGTGAGATGGTGTGCATTGTGACATTAAACTGCAACTCTTATTGGAATTGGCTTAGCCCTAGTGAAAGTACTCATACTATAAGTACGACTTTACTCATAATTCGTTCATGAGTACTCATCAGAATTCTGCTAACAATTTTTGAATGTTATTACTCAATGAGGACTCAGAAAATACTTATTTATCGTTTTATTTTGCTAAAATGAAACGGTATAAAGTACTTAGAATCTAGTGAAGAATAGAATATTTATATTTTTCTCGCTAGTCTCTCTGTATATAGTCAGAGATGGACTCGCCTACGACTAGACTTGAAGTCCTACTCTGACTGCCTAAGATCACTCCTCTATATGAAAATACGAGTTAAACTTATGAGTATTATGCCAAAAAAGTTATATGAGTACTCAAGTATGCTCGAGTATTGATTTTGACTCATGTATAAGTACTCAAAATCGTACTGACAGTACCCATTACTCACGAATGAGTACTCACGTGTACTCCTCCTCATTTTTCAGCATAAATACGCATCTGAGTACTCATACTTGACTAAATTCACTAGAGAACTGACTTTTTGCATCAATTTGAAATACACTCCAGAAGTGTCAAAATGTAGGTTGAATGATGACCATAATAGGTTGAAATATTGTCACAACATAAAAGAATGTTGTCATTTCACATAGCTGCATTAACTATACAATTTATCTTAATGTAGGTTGAAGTATTTTAGTTCGACCATACATGACTACTCAGAGCATAAAAGAAACAATTTTTCTATTTCTGAAACTTTTCTGCTGATAGAAAGATGGCAGTAGGCATTCTTTTTTTCGATCGACAAAAACTGCAGATCTCCATCAGTTTTCTGTCAAAAGTTATTTGTTTATTACACATGACGGAGAGAAAGGTTGAAAATGTATCTAGACAGATTTTGTATTAATACATATTACTCGTGACTTCTCTTAAATTCCGATAATGGTAATGTTTTCCGTACTATGGTTCTTTGTTATTTTAGCGAAGTCTCTATTCAAATTCTCATCAATCATTTAGTGTTTTTAAAAATATCTTAAAAATTTCTGAAAGCGTTCATACTAGTGTGGGTGATTTGGAAAATTCTAGTGGCAATCAATCAAAGTTTTGCTCGCATATCAAAAGGTATCGTAAAAAATTTCTTGTTCAAATTTTTCTTACGAGGAAAGATTTCTCAGTGTGCAATTGCTTTTTGCTTGAACTCTAGTGGACAATAGGTAATCGACTGTGCTAAATCCGAATCTGACATCAGTTTGCGCTGTTAGGTCTCCGGAGACCGGGTTTCTGGAAACCCAGGTTTCAGAAACTCTAAAAGATAATCAAAACGTTTCTTAATGAGGCATGATTGTACAACCGCAAATTTCTGATTGAAACGAGATATCTCCCAGCTCTACACGATCTTTCTTTGCAGAATTAATTTACAAGAAAAGTCCTAAATTAACTTCTTCTTATTTCTGTAGCTTTGAGCTGACAATGAACATTTAGAGCCTTTCTTGTAAATTCTACAACTTTGCAAAGAAAGGTCGTGTAGAGCTGGAAGATATCTCATTGTAATCAGAAATTCGCGGTCTACAATCATGCCTCATCAGGAAAGGTTTTGGTTATTTTTTAGAGTTTCTGAAAACCTAATTTTCCAGAAACCCAATCTCTAGAGCCCTAGCAGCACAAACCGATGTCAGATTCGGATTTAGCACAGTCGATTACCTATTGTCCACTAGAGTTCAAGCAAAAAATGATTGCACACTTGGAGACCTTTCCTCGTCAGTCTCAGACTATTAAGTTTTTTTCACTGTTTATCCGATTAAAACGTACCATGAAATGTGGAGCAAGAATTAGTCGGTTGATCGCTTTATAATTATCAAATAGATGAGTACGAAGGAAGAAAAAGAGAAATCTAAAACCAAACATTTTAAGCAATTAGCTTGAATTTATTTGACGACGAGATTACTTTAATACGTGTTCAACTTTTTCATTACAGTTGGCACACGCGAATACTCGTATATTACTTCGTTGCTAAATTAGAAACTTTAATATATCAAATTTTAATAAATGGTAGCACAAGGTTACTTAATAAATGAAATCTGACTGTAAACGGGTGGCCCATAAAGAATGTCCTGTTCAATATTTTGTCAACGTGTCCTTCAGTTTTCATAGTAAAGGATCAAACATTTTTTAAAAGATTCAGTTTCAATTCTCTACAAAGCCACAGACTGAGCTTTGTTATAGAGCTAAAAGTAAAAAGGCTATTGTGGGAATACCGAAAACGTACCACATCAACAACTTTCAAGCACAAAATTCAGTTTTTTTGTATTTACGTATGTCGATGTTGAGATATAAAACAATTACGTGAGCCATTTTGCAGAGCTCGAAAAGCTATCGTACGGGTGTATTCAAAAAATTTCATATGGAATTTCTATGGCACAAAATAAGTTTTACTTTTCTCAGATTTTGAAACAAAACCGTGTTTTTGTTCTGTAGTATTGCATGTTCTGGAAAAAATCATGTAACTCAACCAAAATTTAACATTTTTTAGCAAATATTTTTTAATTTTGAAGCTGCTGAGCCATAATACGAATGTCTACCTTAATTCCGAGTGAATATCTTTTCCTTTTCGGTAAGTTCAAACAGAAAGGCCAGATGAGGCAGATTTCGACCTGCTGTCCAAAAAATAGATTCTTTATCGATATGTTTGACTGAAATGCTCTTTGTTAGGTCTCATTAGAAAGAGCGCACTTGATTGTACTAGAAATGATGCTTTGAAGTTCTATATTTATGCTTGAAAGTTGTTGATGTGGTACGTTTTCGGTATTCTCACAATAACCTTTGTACCTTTAGCTCTATAACAAAGATCAGTCTGTGGCTTTGTAGAGAATTGAAAACTGAATCTTTTAAAAAATATTCGATCCTTTACTATGAAAACTGAAGGACACGTTAACAAAATACTGAACAGGACATTCTTATGGGCCACCCGTTATAAGTTAAAATGAAAACAAAAGACGAAAATTATTCTTAATATTTTTTTCGCTTTATCAATTAAGATATCATCCTGTACTATTTTAGACTTCGATCTCAAGTGTTTTAATGAAGAATGCTATTTATTTTACCGATTAGGCATTCATAGATACTAGTCGATTTTACATCAACCGATCCTCTGATGATATTTAGTGTGTACATTACATATTGTTGATAATAATCTTGATGTTGGATATAATACGGAATCATTAGGGAAATTAAAACAACAATTGGTTATAGCCCACGTGAGTACATAACATTTGAAAAACGTTTGTTCTATC